AGTGCAGTGGTGCAATCTCAGCTCACTGCAACCTCTGGCTCCCGGGCTCAAGTGATTCTCCTGCCTCAGCCTCCTAAGTAGTTGGGATTATAGGTGTGTGCTACCATACCTGGCTAATTTTTCTATTTTTAGTAGAGATGGGGTTTCAACATGTTGTCCAGGCTAGTCTCGAACTCCAGAACTCAGGTGATCTACTTGCCTTGGGCTCCCAAAGTACTGGGATTACAGGTGTGAGCCACTGTTTCCGGTTTAAACATTTTTTTTTTTTTTTTTTTTTTGGGACGGAGTTTTTGCTCTTGTTACCCAGGCTGGAGTGCAATGGCGCGATCTCGGCTCACCGCAACCTCCGCCTCCTGGGTTCAGGCAATTCTCCTGCCTCAGCCTCCTGAGTCGCTGGGATTACAGGCACGCGCCACCACGCCCAGCTAATTTTTTTCTGTATTTTTAGTAGAGATGGGGTTTCACCATGTTGACCAGGATGGTCTCGATCTCTTGACCTCGTGATCCACCCGCCTCGGCCTCCCAAAGTCCTGGGATTACAGGCTTGAGCCACCGCGCCTGGCCCCGGTTTAAACATTTTAAATAAACTTTTATTTCTGCTTTAAAACTTGCCTCAGTCTCTCCTGCCTTGTGCCCCTTGGCCAAATTCACTCCTCTAAGGAGGCAAAAAGCTAGTTGCTGCAGAACTGTACAGATTCACTGCTGCTAAGAGTACCACCCTTGGTTCTATTTATTTATTTTTTTAATCCCAATAGCTGAATTATGTGGCAGAAAGAGAATTCTGAGTAAAAGAAGAAGGAAAGAAAAGATAATGCCATTTTGAGCAGTGATGAGCACCAGATGTGAAGGCAGAGAATATCAAAACTAATATAAACATTTTGCCTCGGAAATTTTTTTCTCATTCTTATCCTCCTTCTCTTCCTAACCACAAGTTTCGTTGCTCCCAGGACCCATAATCAAAGTAATGTTAAGTTCTAGGTCAATTAACAGAAAACCAATTTGCCAAAAGCTCATACACGAAGTGACTTATTTGCCCAGTAACCAATATACTAAAAGTCAATTCACCTGAAATCAGATTCACTGAAGACCAATTAGTCAAATTCACCAAATTCATTTGTTTCCTAAAAATCATTTTGAATATGATGGATCAGCAAGGTTAAGAAGACTATGAGGACCTAAGGAACCAGGGTGCTGGGGCTTCCTCACTCTCTTCCTGCCCTTATAATTTATCCTTTCTTGTCCACGAGGCTCACTCTCTACCCTTGGGTCTCCTCCTCTTTGAACCTCTTGGACTCTGCGCCTCTGGGGCTGCCCAGCTGGTCTGAGTCATACACTGACTAACACAATCTGTTCTTCTCACAGTGTTAGCCCCCTATTCCTTGCTCTAGCTCCCTCCAGCTGCAGCAGCAGGCAACTGGGATGGGGAAGAAACGAACATTACTTAAAGTGCTGATACTACTGAAATATCCAAAAGCTGTTAAATAAAAACCATCCAATTAGAACTGATACAAACTTTTGAGTCAAAGAAGTTTTTGATATCAAATGGCAAGTTTGGTTAATCTGACAAAGTTTAATGGAAAGTTGGAAGTTTTCTAAAACTGTTAAATGTTGGAACTGTTCTTTAAAAGGCTTTGTAAACAGATAAAAAAGAAATCAAATAAATAGGAAAATTCCCATTGGAAATTCTGGCAATGTTCAGAAGAAAAATAAGTTCATCAGTAGACTAAATTTCCTTAATAACTTTGAATAAATTGAACATTTCTTTCTTTCTTTCTTTTTTAAATTGAACATTTCTTAAACTGCATGAAGCTGAGAGGTTACAGACAGAGTAGTGAGGGGGCACGCCCACCTAAAGTCACCAAGGCACACTTCACATGCTGGCCAGAAAACAAATAAACAAATACCAACATAGCAAAACTAATAAAAACAAATAATCTCTACATTCTAAAATTTCAATTTATATCAAACTGCATCTATATAAAGACATGTATAGGAAAATCTATAAGACAATACTTACTTATGAAAAACACTTAAGAAAGTAAAATTTGATATGGGTGATTTTTTTTTTTTTTTTTTGAGATGGAGTTTTGCTCTTGTTTACCAGGCTGGAGTGCAATGGTACAATCTCGGCTCACTGCAACCTCCACCTCCCAGTTCAAGCAATTCTCCTGCCTCAGCCTCCTGTGTAGCTGGGATTACAGGCATGTGCCACCACACCTGGCTAATTTCGTATTTTTAGTAGAGATGGGGTTTCTCCACGTTAGTCAGGCTGGTCTCAAGCTCCTGACCTTGGGCGATCCACCCACCTCTGCCTCCCAAAGTGCTGGGATTACAGGTGTGAGCCACCACGCCCAGCCTGGTATGGGTGATTTTTAAAAATTGTGTATACAAATATATATTTATCTTCAGAGAAACTTTTAAAAACAGTAAACATATACATATGTAGGAAGATTTATTTCAAATTCTTAATACCTATGTTAGAAATGAACTTTTTTTTTTTTTTTTTTTTTGGAGATGGAGTTTCACTCATGTTACCCAGGCTGGAGTGCAATGGCGCGATCTCGGCTCACCGCAACCTCCGCCTCCTGGGTTCAGGCAATTCTCCTGCCTCAGCCTCCTGAGTAGCTGGGATTACAGGCACGCACCACCATGCCCAGCTAATTTTTTGTATTTTTGGTAGAGACGGGGTTTCACCATGTTGACCAGGATGGTCTCGATCTCTTGACCTCGTGATCCACCCGCCTCGGCCTCCCAAAGTGCTGGGATTACAGGCTTGAGCCACCGCGCCCGGCCAGAAATGAACTTGTAAACAGTTTGATAGGAATTTAGAGAAAGAACAGCTATAAATCATAGTTTTATTTACATATTTTTAAAATAGCTAGGATTTCTACCGACTTTTTTGTAGACCACAACATGATAAGCATTGTTAAAAGAAAATAAATAAATAAATAAATAAATAAAGGCTAGGAAACAGCAGACAGTATAAATTATAAGTTTCTCTAATATATTATTTGTTATTAAATTTATAAATAATCTCCAAATAGCATTTGTTAGAGGTCAGACTGACAGATTTTTACATATAGAACTATATAGTGAACACAACAAAAATCTATATACCCACCATTCAAATTTTACAAATACTAATATTGTACTTCTAATTTTCTTATAAAATAAAAGAAACATTTTTGCTGAAGTTGCTATCACATTTTTATTCTTCCCCAGACCCATTCTCCTCTCTGGGAGGAGAGTGTGTATGCCAGAAAGCCAGGAAGCACTCAGAGAATTATAAGGATGTGTTTTTAAAAAAAAGAGCCGGTTTAAGGGAGATTTCATTAGCCAGATTTAAGGTTAAAAAGAAGAAAAGGGGCTGGGCACAGAGGCTCACACCTATAATCCCAGCACTTTGGGAGGCCGAGGTGGGCGGATCATGAGGTCAAGAGACCGAAACCATCCTGGCCAACATGGTGAAACCCCATTTCTACTTAAAAAAAAAAAAAAGGTAGAGGATTATAACATATTGAGTAATAACATTAATTGAAACCCCAAAGGTCATAGTATTTTTTTTTTTTTTTTTCCCAGATGGAGTCTCACTGTGTTGCCTAGGCTAGAGTGCAGTGGTGTGATCTTGGCTCACCAAAACCTCTACTTCTTGGGTTTAAGTGATTCTCTTGCCTCAGCCTCTCGAGTAGCTGGGATTACAGGCATGTGCCATGATGCCTGGCTAATTTTTTTTCTGTATTTTTTTTAGTAGAGATCACCACGTAGGCCAGGCTGATCTTGAACTCCTGACCTCAACTGATCCACCCACCTCAGCTTCCCAAAGTTCTGGATTACAGGCCTGTGGGCCACCACGCCCAGCCCATAGTGGCAATTTATTTTTTTAAAGCAGGGAGGTAAATTTCTTCTTTATAGAAAAATGCCAACTAGTAAATATAGAAGCAATGATGGAATCAGAAAAGCCATTTAAAAGGTGATTCATGCAAACATCATCAATAAATACCTAAAATCACTCAGTGAAAAGTTTCAGGAACAGGCCGGGGCGGGGGATCCCATGCTTTGAAAGTGTTGTATCAGTTACTACTAATAATAAATAGTAAAGGGGGAAATTATCTTTACAATTTGCCTTATTTTAGTGAGGTAGAGCTTCTTTTCATGTTTATTGGCTATTCAGGTGTCCTCTGATGCTCATATTCTTTGCCTATTTTTCTTCTTTTTTTGTTTTTTGAGACAGAGACACAGTCTCACTCTGACGCCCAGCCTGGAGTGCAGCAACACCATCTCAGCTCACTGCAACCTCTGCCTTCCTGGTTCAGGCAGTTCATTACGCATCAGCCTCTCGAGTAGCTGAGATTACAGGTGTGCACCACCACGCTCAGCTAATTTTTGTAATTTTAGTAGAGATAGGGTTTCATCATGTTGGCCAGGCTGCTCTCGAACTCCTGACTTCAGGAGATCCACCCGTCTCAGCCTCCCAAAGTGCTGGGATTACAGGTATGAGCCACCATGCCAGGCTCTTTGCCTGTTTTTCCGTTGGCTTGTTTATGCTTTACTAATTGAGTTGGATAAATTCTTCATATACTTTGGACACTGTAATGCAAATATCTTTACTGAGTCTGCAATTTATATACGGGACATTTTGTATAACAAAACCTTTGATTTCAATATACTTAAATATCTTAATCTTTGTCTTTATTATTTGCATGTTTTAAGGAACATTTAATATATCTTTCCCTATTCTTAGGATCATAAAGATGGCCTCCTATATTTTCCTCTAAATTCTGAATTCTATTCAGTTTGTTTATCTGAGGAGCTGAACGGTGAGTACTAAAACTGTTGGACAACAATGTTAACTTTTGGTTCTAAGGGGGTTTCCAGCTTTATGTGAAGTCTCCTTTCAACATGATAAATAATTGAGAGTTGCTATTTAAAACCATACATGATAAAGTTGTTATAGTTTTAGGATTTTAAAAAATAGAAAAGAGTAAGGCATAAAATCTTACATGAGTGAACAAAGCTTCCTTCCTTAACTCTTCAGAACTGTCATTTGGAGTCCAAGCTTCAGCAAACTGCAGGAAATCCCATTTTTCCTTATCACCTTCCTCAGCCTGAATTTTTTCCTTTTTACCATTCAGTGTGCTCCCTGTAACTTGAGCCTACAAGAGGAAAAAATACATGAATTTTACAACAGTTTGCCTCACAGCTGAAATTCACTAAGTAACTTAATTTTGAATTTAAATCATAAGCTACCCACTAAGAAAATCTTATGTTCCAACATATGGGCTTTAGTAATGTAATTATAATAAGCCTCCCAACCAACTGAATGGATCCCTCCTCTTGGCCAAGAGCATCCAAAGTAACCTAAAACAGGCCAGGCGGAGTGGCTCATGCCCGTAATACCCAGCACTTTGGGAGGCCAAGGAAGGTTGATCACCTGAGGTCAGGAGTTTGAGACCAGCCTGGCCAACATGGTGAAATCCCATCTCTGCTAAAAATACAAAAATTAGCTGGGCATGGTGGCAGGCGCCTGTGATTCCAGCTCCTTGGGAGGCTGAGGCAGCAGAGTCACTTGAACTCAGAAGGCAGAGGTTGCAGTGAGCCAATATCTTGTCACTGCACTTCAGCCTGGGTGACAGAGCAAGACACCATCTCAAAAAAGCTGACCAGCATTAACATTAAAACAAGGATCTTAAGACAAAGCAGACTCCATGCAGCAGTAAGACATCAACATGACAGATAGCAGGCCCTAAAACAAACTGAAGTGTTTCATTCCCCAAAATATTTCTTTACTATGAAATGGCCCTGCAGAGCTGTCTCTTGTGGGGAAAATTTACATTCTGTAGAGAATCCCTTTTCCTTTCCAGGTCTTTATCTTGATCCAGGAGAAAATTAACTAAGGAGTCTGGCACCTTTTAAAGTCTAATAAGAAACATTTACAATCTATTCTGTCTGAAGCCTGCTACCTGGAAGCTTTACCAGCATAAGAACCTTGGTCTCCACAACCCCTTATCTTAACCCAGATATTCCAAGATTTCAGATAAACTCTTTCAACCAACTGCCAATCAGAAAAAATCTGCATCCACCTGTGATCTGTAATCAATGCCTCCCTCCACCACACCTTGTATAAAACCAAGCTGTAGCCCAACCAAGGCACAAGTTCTCAGAATCTCCTGGGGCTGTGTCATCAGCCATGGTCACTCACATCTGGCTCAGAATAAATCTCTTCAAATGTTTACAGTCTGACTCTTCATTGACATCCTCATCTGTTTTCTGTTGCTTATAACAGAATATCTGAAATTATGTAATGTATAAAGAAAATGAACTTATTTCTTACAGTTATGGAAGCTGAGAAGTTAAGGTTGAGGGCCACATCTGGTGAGGACTTTTGGGGTTGGGTACCTGCAGAGTTCTGAGACAGCACAGGCCATCTCATGTGGAGGGGCTGAGTGGTGCTAGCTTAGGTCTCTCTTCCTCTTCCTATAAAGCTACCAGTCCCACTCTTATGACAGTTTATTAATTCCTTAATTCATGAATGGGTTAATCCATTCATGAGGCAGAGCCCTCATTACCCAATCACCTCTTTGTCTTTCTTTTTTTTTTGAGAAGAGGGTGGGAAAGAAGGCCAATCACCTCTTAATGGCCCACATCTCAATACCGCTACAGCGGGGATTAAGTTTCTAAGCAAATTTTAGAGGAAATGAACATTCAAACCATAGCAATAATTATCCAGAATTATAATCCATTACCTAGTCAATGGTTTCATGCTTAATGAGAAAATGGTCTTAGTTGGGAAGTTATACTATTCACTTTCTTCATAAAAACTTTTATTCTAATATTTATATACTTTGGAACTTAACCAACATATGACTGGCCATTTTGAGCATCTATATTCAGGGCTTGAAAAACACTGCACTGAAAAACAGTGCTATGGGCTGAATGTTTGTATCCCCCCAAATTCATATGTTAAAATCCTAACTCCCAGTGTTGATGGTGTTCAGAGGTGGGGCTTTTGGGAGGTGATTAGGTCATGAGGGTGGAGCCCTCATGAATGGCCTTAGTCCCCTATAAAAGAGATCCAGAGAGCTTTCTTGCCCTCTTTCCACAATGAGAAAGCAGTAGTCAGCAACTTGGAAGAGGGTCCTCACCAGAACTCAACCACACTGGCATCCAAATCTCAGATTTTTAGCCTCCAAAAGTATGAGAAATGAATTTCTATTGTTTACAAACCACCCAATTATGGTACTTTGTTATGGCTGCCCAAACTAACTCAGATATAATCAATCATTTTTTTTTCTTGAGACAATGTCTTGCACTGTCACCTCGACTGGAGTGCAATGGCACGATCTCAGCTCACTGTAACCTCCTCCTCCTGGGTTCAAGCAATTCTCCTGCCTCAGCCTCCCAAGTAGTGGGGATTACAGGCAACTACCACCAAGCCCAGCTAATGTTTTATATTTTTATAGTAGAGACAGGGTTTTGCCATGTTGGCCAGGCTGGTCTCGAACTCCTGACCTAGGGGATCCGCCTGCCTTTGGCCTCCCAAAGTGCTGGGATTACAGGCTTGAGCCACCACACCCAGCCAGAAATCAGCTAAGCCTTGGTCAAGTCCTTTCTACAACGCTGTTAAGACTGAGAAGAGACAGCTGAGAGGATGGAGGAAGCAATGTCATTCCTACATTTTCCAGAGTCTGGGTACAGGCTATCTTCTGTCCAAAATTATCTGGGAACTCAAGAATTCTTCTGGAAAGGGTTTATTCTTAGGTTACACAAAGGACTTGGGGCTTGAAATAGTATATTCTCTTGCTAGCCAACTCCATTGCTGTAGCCTCTAAAGCAGTAGAAGGGCTTGGAAGATAATAGAAATACATGGAAATTCATGCCCTTCTTATTACAGAAGATATAGCAGGCAAGGTACTACTACTGAAGACTTTTCTTAACTTGGTCTCTATTATCATTATTATCTTGATGCATGGAAGTATCCTTTGCCTGAAAACACTAAAACTCAGCCTCTTAACTCACATAGGCTATGGATCATCAAAAGTAAGCAGCTAATTTGGTTTAAATTCAAGCTTTACCTTGCGATTCAACATTCCCCACATAAGGGTGTCTAGAGTTCCATTTGCAATAAGGTAGTGAATATTCACGGAACTGCACTGGCCAATTCTGTGAGCTCGGTCTTCTGCTTGTTTTATATGTCCAGGGTCCCAATACAACTCGGCAAAAACAACATGACTTGCTGCAGTAAATGTTAATCCCTAAGTGGAATAAAGCAAAAAAATTGAGATGCAAATAAATTGAGAATGTAACACACAGCCATATATAAGAAACTCTTTCGGAACATGTTAAATGGAGAACACTGAAGGACTTGAAAAGAAATTAGTTGTTTATTTTAGGCCAAATTAAGATTTAATTCATGAAAGGCAAATGAAGAACATTTAAATAGTTTTCAAATGTGTTTCTTGTAGTTCACCTACAAAAAAAAAGGTATTTCAAAATGTCAAAAGTTAGCTTGATGGAAGTATATAAACTAAATCACTTTATTCTTATGATGACTAGATTCACATTACCACTGGAAAACCTAATAAAATACCTTATAAATGAGGATATAATTCCTAACACATGGTATCCATAGCAACTAGGCAGAGAGCATTTACATCTTCTTTAATTCACACTGTCATGTTATAAAGCAAGAAAATCACGTCTTTGGTCATACTATTTTCTTCCTGTGAAATTTCTCATGTTATATTCTGAAAACCTGAAATTTACTGCCTATGTCTCAATATATACAGTGCAATTGCATTTTCATGAATTTCAAATACTGTGACATAAAAAATATAACTAAATCTGGCTTTATAATCAATATATGAAATAATGCAAATATCTTCAAACTAAAAAATGTGTCAAACTAAAAAATGTGTCAAAAATGCATGACTTTAATGTTGGTAGGCTGCATGAAATGAGAACCATGCTTATGCTATTGCCATATAGCAGTAAAATGACATTAGGTGGTAAACAGAAATATCTGTTTTTTTTGAGCATCATCTAATCAATGCTGTTTGTTGTTCACATGCACCAAACTCCTGTGAGTGATCTTTGTGACTGCTATGCTAGCATTTTAGTATGTTATTTTCACTTAAAATGTTTTCATATCACATAACAAAATCATACTAACATTAATTAAATGGTGGTACTAGTTCTCAAGCTGAAAAATTCACTGAAAATCAGTCTCTCTGAAAAATAAGTTAGAGGTAATGAAAACACAGACCAGACCCAAACATGTTAAACTGTGCTGCTATTTAGGACTGAAAATGCCACAGAATATTAGAAATAATGCTGAAAAAATAAAAAGTAGTATTTAAAGAGAGACATCTTTAATTTTATAAAAAGCATCATTTGGCTATACAAGCATAAAGGGAAAATACGTTGGCAAGATCAATACCATTCTAAGCAGCTATTAAACTATAATGTAAGATTCACAGTACCAAGAACAAAGACCTTTCTACTTTCCTTTATTCCTATGGAGATATCAGTCCTCAAGTATATCAGTCTTGACTTATATCGGGTCTTCAGAAATACAGCCTTGAATAAAATGTAAGTGCCCATACATTATTAATTTCAAAAGGTCCTAGACTCTGCTGTCTGGCTTTCTCCTACTTAGCACCTCCTCAGCTCTAAGTACTTCATTTCTAATTCTAAGCTCTTTTTGATGATATTCTCTATGGCTGGAATAGTCTAACAGATATATAACTGGTTATTAGAAGTTTAACTGAACATGCGGGAAGTGTTGAAACAACCCTCCTTTTGGTTAGAACTCCCAGTGAGTTGTGGAACTGCTTCATCCTCATAAAGCTTCTCTCTATACACAATTTCACATACTTCAATTAGCTGGGTAAAAGCAGATCTTTGGCATGCATCAGTTTGGTCAAATAGCAGTATGCTCAATTACTTTTCCCTATGTTAAACATCCTAGCTTAGACATTCACAACAAAGTATTTTAGAATGTTAGCAGAAAAACAGTCCAGAGGATCCCCTCTTATATAGTGTGGCAGAGACTGCCATTACTTTCCCTAATATCTATCCCTCTCTTATTCCTTTGTAACATAACACCCAATGTTAAGCAGGGCCACCTGGAATAAAGGCTACTCTTCACAGCTTCCCTTGAAGTTAGGTGTGGTTGTGGGACTAACTACAAGACAGTGAGATGCAATGTGCTTTTTTCCAGGCAGCTGCTTGGACTGCAGATGTGATGAAGCTCTAGCAGCCCTTTTATTGAAGAGATACTTGCTAGGCCAGGTGTGGTGGCTCATACCTGTAATCCTAGCACTTTGGGAAGCTGAGGCAGGCAGATCACAAGGTCAGGAGTTTGAGACCAGCCTGGCTAACATGGTGAAACCCCGTCTCTACTAAAAATATAAAAATTAAGTAGGCATGGTGGCGGGTGCCTGTAATTCCAGCTACTCGAGAGGCTGAGGCCTGAGAACAGTTTGAACCCAGGATGTGGAGGTTGCAGTGAGCCGAGATCATGCCATTGCACTCCAGCCTGGGTGACAGGGCAAGACTGTCTCAAAAAAAAAAAGAAAAAAAGAAAGAGATACTCACTAGGACTAGTAAAGCAGAAAGCCAGAAGGGGCGTGGGTCCTAACGACTTCGTGCAAACACCATGCTAGGCCTGGACAGTCTACATAAAAGAATGAAACTTAGTGTATTTAAGTCAGTCTTAATCGGAATTTTTGTTTACTTGCCCCCGAACTTAATCCTAAGGGACAAAATGGGGCATTCCATAAAAAGTCCTGAGACAGAAGAGTTCTTTTCCCCCAGGCCACCTTGCCACACAGATCCTAATGCAACACAACCAAGTAAGTGAAGGGCTGGCTATAAGACAGGTATGAGAAAAGCCTATACAAATTCAAAGGAAGGAAAAAAGGTCACAAATATATTATGATTGAATTAACTATATTCTTCTTACTCTTCTTTGAAAGTATATCCTTTCAAAACCATTCTTTCCTTGAAAATTTAGGAAGATCTGTGTTAAAGACGTTGAGGCCTCTTTCTGTTATACTTTCTAGCAGTCTCTGAAGAAGAATTAATGTTTATTATACGAGTCATCCAGATATAAAGTTACGAGTTTACAAACCAAAGTTATAGTGAATGGCCTTTTTTTGTATTTCAATGACACTTCATTGCCAAATTTAGACCTGAAATTTCTTACCTGGCCAGCAGCCTGAATGCTTAGGATAGCCACACGAGTGTTAGGATCCTTTTGAAACTGATTAACCAGATGTATTCTTTCTGAAGATGAAACACTTCCATCTATCCTAATGTAACGAGTCTAGCAACAACAAGGGAAATAGCAAAATTAGGACAAGCCCCTATATGCCCATCTAATTTTATAAATTTTACAGCTTATTTTTATGGTCACATAAAAAAATGGAACTTGGTTAAGATGACAGATTGGTAAATGTTATACAAAAAGAATCTTAACCAAGTTTTTAAATAGCTTCTTATAACAATTTCTTATTATTTCAATCTTTTAAGCTACTTGAGAGTAGCATCTATGTCTAATTCATCTTCATCCCATCAATGTCAAGGACAAGGCCTTGTATACAGCAGAAGCTCCACAAATCTTTTATGAATTCAGCTAATGCTGTCTTCAGTAAAATTCTATGTAAATTGACATGCTAACTATAAACCATGGATCAGACTAACTCTAATGTTATAAAATCACTAATTCTAAAGTGAAAATAAAGCCAGGCATGTGAAAAAGGAGAAAGATGACTCTGCCCACATATTACGGATTCATGGAAAGCAGTGAGTACGTTTCCGAAATACTGCAAATATTAACTGGGAAAATAGAGCTTTTAATCTATTATTTGAATTCTGGTTTTTCACATTATTAAACTTAAAAGAAATATGTGATATGGTCATATCCAGTGAGGTGGGGAACTGAAGCACTCATACACATTTTTAAAAAGTAGGAAAACATTAAATGTTAAACTAAACATTGTTGTCTTTAAGAATGATTTGAGTTGAGAAAAGGGTGTTATTATGTGTTAAAATAATGACTTCTAAAAAGAAGTCATTATTCAACTTATAAAAATAGTAAGTTCTAAATTTCAAAAAAACATTCATATATGCACTTTTATAGAAGCTATAGCCTTAAATATTGGAACATATGAATATTCACTTTTATAAGGGAATATCCAAGTTAATTATTAAGTAGAATGTTCTGTATTAACATTCTCTCCTCATAGAGCAAGTATAAACAGACTAGTGAACCATTTAATATCCATTAAGGAAGACTATAAAATCACCTGAGGGTCTTTCTAAAGAAAATACATTGTCAGGGTAGGGAGAATTTGGGAAAAATTGACCTCCAACCCCATGAATATCTACATTTTTAACTCTTAGTAAAGCTAAATTCGATTCTAAACATATAAGTAAAATGGATCTGAGAAAAAAAGGCTGCTATACTTGGAATAAATCCCAGTAGTTTCAAGGTATAATGGAATCAGAATAAGAAAAATATTATGAATCTAATATCTTGCCCAATCATTTAAAAATAGTATTAAGTTTAATTAACTCTTAGAGGGTGTTTTTCAGAAACTATATGATAACCAGTGAGAAAGTACCTTTTAATATATAGCACTTTATTATATTCTAAATCTTCCCATGAAGGAAACACTAGAATTATTTCTTTGGTAATGTTAATGAACATATTAACTAATGTTTAAACAATGTATACTGTTTTTATCTTTGATAGAAACAAAGGAAGATGTTGTTACTCGCTGGTGGACTATTGGAAATCAAGGTAGACTTAAGAAGATGCAGTAAGCCACATGGCTTGATGGAGCTTAACCTGATAAATTACTTGGGCTATATGTTTCAAATATATCTACACTAAATTTTAATAATAATTTTCCACAGACTATACTGCCTGGAAATTTAATGGTATGACTGCAGTTGGACACTAAAATTGGCCAAATTCATTCTTTCTTTCCTCTCTCTGTCACCAACATTCAAAGACCTTCATGTATGTAAATAAAAAAAGTTTAACGTTAAACTGCCTCCACCACTCTGAAACGGTATAACCAGGAACAAAAATGAAATTCACATTATAGCCTGTCATGGCAGTGTAGCTTTAATCAATCCAGATAATTTGATCAGTGAAAAATTGTCAGATCAGTTAAGAAAAGAAAAAATGTAATAGTATATCATCTTATAATGTTAATATAATTTTCAAGAAAAATGTGTAATAATTTATACGTCACCAACTAAAGAAGACAAAAAAACAATTATGAGACTACAACTGATGTTTAGTATACTAAAAATATGTGTTCTAAAAAGTATTTAATTAAAAAATGGCAACATACCTTATTTTCGATGACTGCTTCTGTGCAAGCCTGGAGCATGCTTAAATGGTGAGCAAAAACCAGAAATTTAAGCGAATCATTCTGAAGCATCATCTTAATATAATCCTTTACAGCACCTGCCTAAAAGTTAAACCTTATTAGTATCATAAAAATGATTATTTAAAATTTATGTCACTTTTAATAAAGCAAGATAAATGGCTTAAAAATGAGTAAATATGAACTTTTAGCTGCATTGTTCTCTAGGTAGCCTAAGGAAGCAGAAGCCCACATGTAAGGAAGATGTGAAAGAAGAGGGACCTGAGCAGTTAAATGAGAGCAAGACAAAAACTAGAAGAATTAAAAAACAAGACGATGGGTTTCAATGGAAACGGGTAGTCAAGTAGGCGACGAACAAGAAGGAGTTGGCAGTTTTGTTTAGAAGGTGATTTTCAAAAAAGTTTATATAGAAGACTAAATAGAACATAGTTAAGAAGAAAACAGAAGGCAAAAAAATCAGATGAAGAGCCTGTTTTTTTAAAGGGAAGACTGAAAAGAGTAAGAAATCAGGGACTGAAGCTTAAGGTTTAAGGAAAGCTTTTTTTGTTGCTGTTTTTCTTTTTTAACTTAAGAAACTTAGGTAGACTTACAAATAGGCAGGTCAAATACACAGATTAAGAGAAATGGAAATGAGGTATACTTACAAATAGACTTACAAATACACAGATTAAAAGAAATGGAAATGAGGTCACTTAGCTTATCTCTGGGATGGAGAGGGTTCCAGAAGAGGCTGGAGTGATGGGATGAAGACAATAGTAGTGAGGTCTGAGAGAAAAGGGGGACATACAGAACAACTGTGAGGCAGGAGGAAGAAAATTAAGAAAGTTCAGATTAACAGGTAACTTGAGGTCAAGTTACTTAGTAAGAGTGAAAAATCAGTTTGGTATGAATTAAACAGGAATTAAAGAGGATAGCATGAATTAAGTGTAAAATATGAATATATGTATCTTTTAACTTTTAAAAACTGGTTATTTAGAAATTTTGGAAAAAGATATACCAGGCTGACCACATTTAGCTTCTGCTCCTTCTCAATGCTATGTTTAAAAGATAGTGAAGTGCATAGGGACAAGGAGGATTGGAGAAAAGTCAATAGCAACAAAACTTTGGAAGCTAAGAAGTAGATAATGTCTGATAACTGATAAACCAATATGACAGATTCTAACTAGAAATGAAGAAGCACTTGGTTTATACTGCAGTCATCTAAAAAGGCTCAGAAAATAACACAACTGAAATGGGGACAGGAGTGTGGCTAGAATAGGAGGGCCTGCTGAAAGAATGTTTAAGTAGTTGATTATGTATAATACTGCTATTTACCTTCTCTCTACCTATTCCAACAATAGGTAACTACCATAACCTTTCTGGTAGAAAACTACAGACTTGGCCAGGCGCAGCGGCTCATGCCTGTAATCCCAGCACTATGGCAGGCTGATGAGGCAGGCGGATCATGAGGTTAGGAGATCGAGACCATCCTGGCTAACACAGTGAAACTCCGTCTCTGCTAAAAATATAAAAAATTAGCCAGGCATGGTGGCACGCACCTGTTGTCTCAGCTACTTGGGAGGCTGAGGTTGCAGTGGCACTGCACTCCAGCCTGGGTGACAGAGCAAGACTCCATCAAAAAATAAAAATAAAAAAAAAAATAATAAAACTACAGACTTATTCTCTGGAGAGGATAAAATAGAGGGTATTTAAATAGAGGAATCCTATATTGATGATAGGTATATCCTACAAAACTCATAGGGATTACATGAAAGTTACAAAATAAATGCTGAGATCTTCCCCTCTCTCTCAGCCTTTTTACCCCATACTTCCCAAAACAGAAAAACAGGCTTATATCATTCAGGCAAGAGAGGAGAATCACAAATTCTTTTCTAAGGAATCTGACCAGCCAAGAGAAAAAATTGAAGATATGGCTATCAGGGGTTTCCCAAGGAGACATCCCATTCAGATCACCATTTATTGAAGGCCATAGTCTACAAATCGTGTACATCCACAGAGCTTCCAGTCAGTGTTTAGTGTCTTTCTTGTAAATATAAGCAACCAGCCAAAGATCAACAGACATTTGTAGAAAGCCACATGAATGAACAGATCAAATATACAGAGCTAAGAAAACTGGAATAGATTGTATTTGTAAAGCAAGATCAGTATGCTATAAAAAATATATATATATATTATCTATATATAAAGAATATATAAAATATTCTTTATATATATTATATATATATATATATAAAGAAGAGAAGAAAGTAATCTCAGAAATTAAGAAAAAATAGTAGAAATTGATAATTGCTTATCAAGCTAAGGAAATCTCCCAGAAAGTAGATAGAAAATAACAAAGAAAATATAAAATATAGACCAGATGTGGTCGCAGCTCACGCCTGTAATTCCAGCACTTTGGGAGGCCAAGTCGTGCAATCTTGGCTCACTGCAACCTCCGCCTCCCAGGTTCAAGCGGTTCTCTTGCCTCAGCCTCCCAAGTAGCTGGAATTACAGACATGTGCCACCATGTCCAGTTAATTTTTTGCATTTTTAGTAGAGACGGGGTTTCACCATGTTGGTCAGGCTGGTCTCGATATCCTGACCTTGTGATCTGCCCACCACAGCCTTCCAAAGAGCTGTGATTACAGGCATGAGCCACCGCCGACAGCCGAAAAGATTTCACACAATCAAAATAGAATAACAATTCTGAATTGTACTGGACTTCCCAATACCAATACTAGAAATGAGAGAAAATTATTTCCTCAAATTTTATACCAAGCTAACTAAAAATCAGGTAGAACAAAGATATTTTCAAATATGCAAGGAACACAAATAATTTGCTTCCAATATATCCTTTCTTGGGAGGCTACTGGAGAAAATGCTCCAGCAAAATAAGGAAGTAAAGAAAGAAAGAAAATTATGTAAAGGAAAGAGATGAAAATCTTCAGGATTAGAGCTCTACAGCAGGCCTAAAGAGTAACAGCTCAGATTGGAGCTTATCAGAAGGGACCAGGGGAAATTTCTTTAACAAGATGAGATTTATATAATGCTCACTGTTTAAAGATATTGGAAGGAGATTAAATAACTAGGGGAAACTTTGAGGATGGATTAGTGATAACTACATAGAAAACTGATAAAAGAAGAAAAACCTTTATAATTATTAATGCCAAAGAAAATAAAGTGACTTGTGGAAGAAAAACATATCCATAGCATACTACATTTCACCTGTAAATGTTGTAAATGTGGTTCTAATAATAAAGATTGTGAATACTGATCAAGCCAAAATTAGTAATAAGTTGCTATAAAATCAGTAAAACTATGACTAGCACTTTCATAGAAGGATAGAAATAACAGAAAGATATGTGTGTGAGAGTCAGGCAATGGAAGACAGGGCTGAAATTTTATCTCCCGTATTATGACAGCTAAAATTACAAAGCAAACAGAAATACGAAGTAAGCAGCAATATAAGTATGGTGTTGAGGGATTTGAAGTAAATACTAAAAAACAAAAAAACAAAAAAAAAACAAACAAAAAAAACAGCTCAAAGAAAAGGTTTTTGCCTTTGGGAAATAAGGTTAGGGGACGCTTATTTTTTGGAATGGCTGACCCTGATCATTAAACTATATAATACTATGTAGCTTTGGTAATAATAAAAGAATTATGAAGGAAGCATTTCAAAACTGAAAAATACCTACTTAAAATTCATGCATATGACTGTAAAGTCAAAAGACAAATTCAGCAAACTACATTTTGATGTCTAAGTTTTCTAAACAATAGAAATTCATCATACAATGAGAGTAGAGGCTGTTAAGAACTTTAGCCCTGGATTTCAGTGCGTCAGAAAGTGGAAATGAAGTACTGTCAAAACAAGGAGCTATAAATTCCGGATATGCTGTCATGGCAACTAAACCACTTTAATAAAGTGCATGTTTGCCTAAAGAGCTATATTTACTGTGATAAGTCTTTTAAAATGTACATGTCAAGTTGGAGTACTTTTAAGGTACATTCATTACTATCCAGTCCAGACTTACAAACTATATAATTGCCAAACCTCTAGTCTCAGATGGATTCACCTTCCTCTTCACAAGTGAGCAATTTTTGTCAGAGCCTCCTCCACTCATATATCATCTGCTTCCATCACAACCAGAGCTGCTGATGCCAAAGCTCAAGCCCCCACTTTTCCCACTCCTTTCCACTAGTGCTTCAAAAAGATTTACGGTTACTAACATTATTGTAAAGTTCAACTACATAACTAGCTAAATAGGCTCTTAGGACTAATACAGCAACTTAACCATCATTTGTGATATTGCTTTTCAGGAGAAAATGTGTTTGGAATACCAAAACATCAAAAGTAACAAATGAACTTTTAGGATTTTCTTAGGTTCTTAAGTTGGGGATTAAATAGATCTTCATTTTAAAATGTACTATGCATGCATTTTAACTATCTTTATTTTATTCTAATAAAAACTATCACTGCATTGTCAGATTTTAAATGATCTAAACAGAAATTTGCTTCCAAACTATCTTAAGTACGTAGTATGTAGAATGGCAGGTCCTCATAATAATCAGCAGCTTGGTTATGCCAGTTCAGGTTTCACAGAAGTTGCAGAAAATGCATGTGTTCAAAACTCTATTTTATTTTACTAGAACTGATCTGTTGGTAATGAGCCTGTTAGTCAAAGGTCTAATTTAAGCAATTAATGAAGACTATACATTATATCTTATTTAAAGAAATACAGCAATGAAGAGAATATCCTTGTTTTTTTAATCAGTGAAGAAGTACACATTATACTTTCTGAAGTAAAAGTAGTTAAAGAAAAACCTATATTGCACTAAAGACCGGACAAAAGTTACTTGATTTCAAATTGTTGGCTTTTAATAAAATAATAATAATTTAAAAAATGAAAGACAAAAACATCAAACCTGACGTATGACAAAGACTCTCCTTTGACCTAGCTTTAGTTAGACTCTGCTGAGCCCCCTTCTCAATTAAACCTTCACATTGGCCTTCTGTGTCCATCTTGTCCTTGCCAGGTCTGCATAGCCCAGTCTTTTTTTTTATTTATTTTTTAATTTTTTGAGAGGGAGTCTCATTCTGTTGCTCA